GATAAAGACCAATTGGATATCTAACAAACATAACACAGTAATCACACACACTTACTATTGAAGATTATTAAGAATAAAGAAGATGAAAGACTATCTTATCTTGAAAAGCAGCAGGCACAGAGAATAATAGACCATGATGGATCAATGTGAGCTCAACGCGTTCGAAGAACATGTGGTCGATTAATTTCAGCATTTATCTGCAGCTGTTTCTCCCGCGTGTCTCTATAGCACCTCGTCAACAAATTTACAGACAAATACACTACCGATCAACTGTTTGAGATCAGTAAGATTATTATAGTTTTTTTTTATTAATACTTATATTTAACAAGGACACATTTAAACTGATCAAAAAACTGAAAATACATTTATAATGTTACAAAGATTTTATTATATTTCAAATGAATGCTTCTTTTGAACTTTCAATTAGACGTTTGATAAAATGTTCTTTTGAACTTTCTAACTTTGAAAACAAGTTTGAAAATCACGTTTTCCACAAAATTATTAAGCAGCACACCTATTTTTAACATTGATTGTAATAAGAAATGTTTCTTGAGCATCAAATTAGCATATTAGAATAATTGCTGAAGGATCATGTGACACTGAAGACTGGAGAAATAGCTGCTGAAAATTCAGCTTTGCCTTAACATGAATAAATAATTTTAAAATATATTAATATAGAAAACATTTATTTTAAATTGTAATCATTTTTCACATTATTACTGCTTTACTGTATTTTTTATTTAATCTTACCAGTCCTAAACGTTTGATTGGAAATGTATGTTAACAACACTTTGTGTGTGTGTGTGTTTGTGTGTGTGTGTGTGTGTGTGTGTGTGTGTGTGTGTGTGTGTGTGTGTGCTAATACATAGCCAATATGCAAGTAATATGCATGCTAAAATGAGAATTAGTCCCTAAACTAAAGTGTTACCAAATGTGTTTGTCAGCTAAAATGAGATAAAAATTAGCAAATATGATGATATTGACTCCATTTAAAGGATTTAAAGGACAAAAGACAACACTTATGACTAAAACAAAAAGCTCTGCATAAATAAGCACTGAATATTCAGAATATTCAAAGTATCCTTGGTGCTAAATGCTAATCTATAACTCTTGACTCTTCATTTAATGCAAATTCAGCTATGGTTACGCTTGGCTAATATTTTGTACAGAATCCAGATCACAAAACCTTGCAGGAGCAGAATAAAAGGAATAATGGAGAACAATTAGATTTCCCAGTCCCACAGTGAATGTGCAAGCATGCTGCGTCTCTGAAATCCTTTTAATCTGTCAGTCTTCTGCTTATTAAAGTCACTGAATGCCATCTTGTCTAACATGAATTCCATACAGCCAATTTATGCAGAATGTTCTCACTAGGCAATTTTTACCTCTCTGTGTTTTAACAAACAACTAAATTGTTCTAAAATGGTCGAGAGCATAAAACATAAACTCCTGACCTCAAAACGAGTGATTTATTCAGAGAATATTTGTGAATTATTCAGAGGACATGAAAGTCTAAAAGATTCTAGCTGTGGGTGCTTTCAACTTCAGCA